GTGTGTGTGTGTGTGTGTGTGTGTGTGTGTGTGTGTGTGTGTGTGAAGCAGAATGAAAGTGAGTGAGAAGAGCTGTGACAGCTGTGCCAAACCCAGACGAGCAGCAGAGAGTGGAGGGAGGGAGGATGAAATGCCACCCAGCAGCCGAGTGCCGGGATGAAAAGAAGGGCAAGAAACAAGCTTCAGCACAAACTGGGAGGAGGAAAGAGCGGGGAGGAAGAGGAAACAATGCCGGGCGGACCCCAGGAGACAGACAGAGTGTGGGAGGAAGAGAGATTAGAGCTTCAAAAAAAAAGTGGTGGTGATAATATAGTGAGTGAAAGTTTGAGGGTGGCTGCCCTGATTGTGGGTATAAAAATAAAGACTTAACAAGTCAAACTCCAAACATTCCTCCTTTTCTTAATGACATAAAAAAAACATCACCACTATGTCCCAGATTTGAAAAGTTTTCCTTTCGTCGCTGACCACAAGGAGCTTGCAAACAGAATCCAATTCCAGCTGGCTGCAGGTAACAGCACACACAGCCCAGTGCTATTTTTAGAAACAGTGAGCTTCACATTTTCAGATAAAAAGCTGAGAGCAGATTTTATCCAGTGTGAAAGTGGAGATCCAACGAGTGGCCGATAATTACAAACTGCTGTCAAAGCACCTCTGTGTCGGGGGGCTTCAGAGACCCCAGCTTCAGCTGCTGCTTTCCAGCTGAAGTCTTAGAGATGGATCCTTGTTGATACTTTATTTTGGCCCCATGAAAATGCTGACACCTTTGGATTTCTCTGGTTTTATTTGGTGTATTTGCCAAAGAAGAAAAAACATTCAAAAAACCCAGTTGTATACAATTATTAAGTTTTGAATGAATTTTAGTTGTTTTTTTTTATGTGAATTGCACAAACAAGTGATAGACAAGTGTTTTTCCTCGGTAACTTACCTGCCTGCCCACTCTCCACCATCTCTTTGCTCCCTGAACTTCCTTGTGAGTTTCATCTTTTGTTCTGTAAACACAGATTTGAAAACAAAATGAGGTGTGAGAAAATATCTACAGGTGCTGGTCATAAAATTTGAATATCATGAAAAAGTAGATTTATTTCAGTAATTCCATTTAAAAAGTGAAACTTGTATATTATATTCATACATTACATACAAACTCAGATTTCAAATGTTTATTTCGTTTAATTTTGATGATTACAAATGACAACAAATGAAAATCTCAAATTCAGCATATCAGAAAATTAGAATCTTGTGAAAAGGTTCAAAATGGATGGCACCTGGTACCACACTCTAATCAGCTAATTAACTCAAACCACCTGCAAAGGCCTTTAAATGGTCTTTCAGTCTAGTTCTATAGGCTACACAATCATGGGGAAGACTGCTGACTTGACAGTTGTCCAAAAGACGACCATCGACACCTTGCACAAGGAGGGCAAGACACAAAAGGTCATCGCTAAAGAGGCTGGCTGTTCACAGAGCTCTGTGTCCAAGCACATTAATAGAGAGGCGAAGGGAAGGAAAAGATGTGGTCGAAAAAAGTGTACAAGCAAGAGAGATAACCACACCCTGGAGAGGATTGTGAAACAAAACCCATTCAAAAATGTGGGGGAGATTCACAAAGAGTGGACTGCAGCTGGAGTGAGTGCTTCAAGAACCACCACACACAGACGTTTGAAAGACATGGGTTTCTGCTGTCGCATTCCTTGTGTCAAGCCACTCTTGAACCACAGACAGCGTCAGAAGCGTCTTGCCTGGGCTACAGAGAAACAGGACTGGACTGCTGGTGAGTGGTCCAAAGTCATGTTCTCTGATGAAAGTAAATTTTGCATTTCCTTTGGAAATCAAGGTCCCAGAGTCTGGAGGAAAAGAAGAGAGGCACTTCATCCACGTTTCTTGAAGTCCAGTGTAAAGTTTCCACAGTCAGTGATGGTTTGGGGTGCCATGTCATCTGCTGGTGTTGMTCCATTGTGTTTTCTGAGGTCCAGGGTCAACTCAGCCACATACCAGCAAGTTTTAGAGCACTTCATGCTTCCTGCTGCTGACCAACTTTTTGGAGATGCAGATTTCATTTTCCAACAGGACTTGGCACCTGCACACAGTGCCAAAGCTACCAGTACCTGGTTGAAGGACCATGGTATCCCTGTTCTTAATTGGCCAGCAAACTCTCCTGACCTTAACCCCATAGAAAATCTATGGGGTATTGTGAAGAAGAAGATGCAATACACCAGACCCAACAATTCAGAAGAGCTAAAAGCCACTATTAGAGCAACCTGGGCTATCATAACACCTGAGCAGTGCCACAGACTGATCGACTCCATGCCACGCCGCATTGCTGCAGTAATACAGGCCAAAGGAGCCCCAACCAAATACTGAGTGCTGTACATGCTCATACTTTTCATGTTCATACTTTTCAGTTGGCCAACATTTCTATAAATCCTTTGTTTTTATTGGTCTTCAGTAATATTCTAATTTTCTGATATGCTGAATTTGAGATTTTCATTTGTTGTCATTTGTAATCATCAAAATTAAACGAAATAAACATTTGAAATATATGAGTTTGTATGTAATGTATGAATATAATATACAAGTTTCACTTTTTAAATGGAATTACTGAAATAAATCTACTTTTTCATGATATTCTAATTTTATGACCAGCACCTGTATATGCTGAAATATTGTGATATTTCCTGATACTGTTTTCATGTATTGGGTTTTAATTAACACTGAATGAGTGGATGTAAGAAGAAATGTGCTGTTCAGTGCTTTTCTGATTGGATAAATTGAATTAAATCAGATTTTATGCATGTAATACATGGTGCGCTCTGAGGCTTTTTTATTATTATATTATTATTATATATTATTATAATTAAAGACCAATATCCTTGGTATGACAGTTTTCTAAAATTTTAGAGAAATTATTTGTCACCAGGTTGGATCAATTTATCAAAAAGCAAAATATCATATAGTAGTGGTCAGAATGGTTTTAAAGTTAAAACTTCTACATCAATGGCTCTAGTGGAATGTATGGAACAAATAATAACTGCTATCGATCAAAAACAGTACTGTGTATTTATGTAGATTTAAAGGGAGCATTCAACACAATTGATCACAGTATTCTTCTTGAAAAATTAAGTAAATATGGTATTAGAGGGTCGGCACTACAATGGGTATCTAGTAATTTGAAAGATAGAAAACAGTTTGTACAAATGGTGTAAGATCTAAACTGGGTAATATCACATGTGGAGTCCCTCAGGGCTCTGTACTGAGACCTAAGTTATTTATTTTATACTGTATGTCAATGACTTAGTAAATGTGTCAGGATTTTTCAAATGTGTTTTATTTTCTGACGATACAACATTGTTTTTGTTTAGGTAGAGATACAGAAAAAATGTTTGAGATGGTACAGAAAGAATTCGAGAAAATACAAAATTGGTTTCAATAAAACAATTTGTCATTAAATTTGGATAAACAAATTACATGATATTCAGTAATAGTAAGACAACTGTTGATTTCTCATTTAAAGTGGATGGTATTGAGATCTATAAAGTCAGTGAGGTGAAATTGGAGACCTCACATGCATTATTTAAGAACAAAAATATCTAAATGTATTGGAGTACTGTATAAAGTCAGGGCAGGGAGTTATTCAATGACAGGCTCTGATTGTGTTGTACAATTCAATAATTGTTCCACATTTAATTTATTGTGTTGAAGTCTGTTGTATAAAGCTCGCAAAACAATTACAAATCCAATTTTTGTTTTACAGAAAAGAGCCATAAGAATTATCACTAGAAAAGATTACAACCATCCATCAAATACATTATTTTGCAAACTGAAAATTTTGAAATTTTATGATTTGATTGACTACAATATTTTACTGTTTATGTACAAGGCTCACAGAAACGTATTACCTTATTACATTCAGGCAAATTTTGTTAAAAGAGACAGTTTTTATTATCTTAAGGGGATGGAAATGTTTGTGAAGCCATATTTTCGTACTTCCTTGAGAGAAAGATGTACTTTAATCCAGAGTATAGGATTGTGGAATGGTCTGAAGGATCATCTTAAAAATGCTAGATCTATGTATATATTTAAGAGACAGATAAAAGCTAGTTTTCTGAAGGTATATGGAAAAGTAAAATGTGAATATTAATTGTTGTTTGAGTTGATGTTTTTATTTTTATTTAGTATTGTTTTGAAAATCATGTTTTGTTTGAATATATTCTGGGGATAAAAGGGGCAGACAAGATTTATTCTTCTTGCTACCTTTTATTTTATTTAGATTTTTATTTTGTGTGTTTTGTTTTTTATTGTATATAATTATTTTTTAATGAAAGGAAAAAATTTGAATTGAAAATGTTGTGGAATACTGATTATGTATCACCTTGACACTGTCCAATTGTTCATATCTTNGGAGGAGGAGATGTGACTGATCGCTGCAGCAGCTCGAGTCGACTAGAGCCGACCAGCCCACTGCTTCAACCAAACAGCTCTCTCTGAAAGTCCCGCCCTGCTCTGCTCTGATTGGACAAAACGGCTCTGGAGTTCGTCTGATTTGTTGAAAGCGTCTAATCCTTATATCAGGGTCCCACTCTGGCGCACCGAACAACGATCCATTCACACCAGTGCAGCTGGATTCTTTTTAAAATTTTTATTTTTTAAGAAATCAGGTCGCGTTTGCGACCACACTGGTTGCACTCTAGAGCCCTGCTAGCTGTTGTTTTGACAGACAACCAGGTACAATCTTAGGTACGCAAGGCAGCTTTATGACGTCCCATTTGGTGCGCTTTTTCCTTTTTTGATCGTGCAAGCGCACCTGCGCACCGGTTATGTGCACCTCTGTCTATAAGGTATGAACATTTCATACATTTAAAATATGGACTCATTTGAAAAAAAACAACTAAATAATTAAAACAATAGTTTGTAATTATTTTAAAATCTGGCTGCTGCTGTGAAAAACAGTTAYACCCAGCAGTAAATCCAAAAAGCCAAACAGACTTCAGTCAGCTGTAGAACGGCAGATCCAGAGGATTAGGTTCTGTTCAGTTATCAGTTTTGAATAAAGTGAAGATTTTCTGTTTGATGTTGATGAGCTGGTCTGTAGGAAAATGGATTTCCTCACACTTTTCTATTAGTGTAGACATGAACAAAATGTAGTTTTGAATTGGAAAAGTATGTTGCATTTTCACAATAGCTGCTAGAAAATCCTCACGAATGTTTAAAATTTTCATATAGAAAACTACAAAAAAGATTTATCATCAAATATTTAGCTTGCTGTAATTTAATAATCAACCAGTCATGTTCAGGTTCAAGAGCTTGAGCCCAACTGTTTACAACAAATATGACAGAACACAGAATTATCTGTACAAAAAAAGGGGATTTATTTGAAAAAATAAAAAGGACAGATTTCCACTGACAGCAACCAGAGCTGAAATAAACAACATAATTAGTAAAAATGCTCAAAAACAATATCCCAGCTTCCACTTTGTGTGGGAGACATGAGCTAAAGCTTCACATTATTTGTTCTCTTCAGAGACGTGGATGGCTGTGGCTGAGTGGTCAGGGGAGTYGTCCTTCAWTGAGAGTTGGGGGTTTGATTCCACCACTRTTCAGTCACATGTAGAACACGTTTCTCTGGGCAAGACACTGAACCCCCTGCATCTGATGTGTCCCATCAGTGTGATTTAAAGCACTGATTAATCTCTGTAGAATTATTTGTCTGGATTAGCTTTGTAGAGATGTAGCAGAGTGCTGTGTAAATGGGTAAATGAGGGTGCAGATTGTAAAGTAAAGCACTTTGAGTATTCTGGTTTGATAGAAAGGTGCTATATAAGCACAGCCCATTTACCATTTAGTCTTTAATGACTTCTGTTCAGGCACAAGTTCAGCAGGTAAGGATAGAGCCATGAAAACCACCACACTCTTCTCCTGCTTTAGATTTGGCACCATAGCTTAGTTTCATTTCAATTCTGTTTATTTATACAATGTCAATTCACAACAAGTCATCTCAGGGCACTGTACAAAAACATACAGCATATAAGAAAATGTCAATTAGTTGTTTTATCCATCTAAAGTCAGCAGATTGCATCAMATCTTCACCTTCATCTGCCATCCTCAGCAGCAGGTTGTAGAACATGGAGCTACAAAAACATGATGTAGTAACAGTATGGCATGTTGAAAGTTGCTGATTTAAAGTGAACACACAATTTATTGATTTGCACTGACGGCTCATTTAGAAGAACTGATCTTCGGCGCGAACACTTTATGTGGAACGGATGGTTTGTAATGTTCCCTGAGGGGTTTAAAGGTTGCATAAAGCAGTTGTCCCGGGGATTCATCTACTGATATTAGACTCAGACTAAATAAAATGACACATTTGTGATCATGAAGTTGTAAAATGCTGCTGAAGAAACCCAAAAAGTGCTGTGGCTGTATCTGAGAATCCATGTGTGCATTCAGTCTGGCTGGACCAGCTATAAAGTAAGAAAAAATCGAATTACCTAACGTGCATAAAAACTGCAGTTTTAATCAAGCTAAAAATAATAATGAAAATAGAAAAATGTCATTTTTTTAAAACAATTTTGTATTTATCTAAAGGCCCTGTCACTCGTTAATGTTTTAGGTCGAAATATGAAAACTTTTGTTATAAATTACCAATATAAGTAATTTGTTATATTAATTGTTTGCATTCTTTATTTTTAATCTTCAGTATGAGAAAACATTTTTCAAATGTTGGCATAAGTTGTCTGAAAAGATCAAGTGTGACGAGGCCTTTTCTAAATATTTTCAGTACTGATGATTCTATACTTGGCTGTTCAGTCTAAGAAAACATCTGGGAGAAAATAAATCACTGGACTTTATCTCTTCAAGATGCATTTCAGGCTGTGAGAAAAGTGGAAGGCGAAACGTAATGGTTTTAAGTTTACCAATAACCAGTTTGGACATTGGCTTTGCTRGTTTTCCAGCTTTGCCTTGAACAAWCAGTGAGAGTTATGAAGAGCAAACAGTTCTCAGTCTCTTATGAGGTGGTCGTCAGCAGATAAAACCTAAATCAATCTTTACAGCCACCTGATCCCTGAAGGTGCATGTTTGACTCGTCCTCCAGCATAACGACCTCATTCCTCTGATCAGGTCAGTATTTCAGAACGTGACCACATAAACTGCAAACAACAGAGTTTATCATGTAGACAACAGTCTGAGACAGTTTCCAGTCTTCTTCATGGATATTTCCAGCAAAAGCTCCATGTGTTGAACTCTGTAAAACAGGCAAGGAAGGACAAAGATATGATCGATCATGTAGAAAGAAATATATTCTTAAAGCATATTAGACTTTATATACAGAAGACTTCAACAGACTCATTGTTAAAWTATTACCTAGCATTCACTGCATTAATAGTGTAAATGCTTATGCACATGATTAATATATTTTTTCTTCCATATGCTTTCCGGCACATTTCTTGTTAGCAGTTTTTGTGCTATTTCAACAATTTATAAATCAAAATGTCAGCTACTTTTGTCCCATTGAAAATGAAAGGAGCTGTTTTCAACATCTTTAAAACCCTTTAAAATGTTCATAAATCTTTACAATTGTTTTTTTACCTTTATTTCTAGTTCTTCGTTTTTTATACACTGCATTGATCCCCTAGTGGGGAAATTGAGTCTCTGCATTTTACCCATCGCACATGTGAACACACACGTGGAGCAGTGGGCTGCCAATTACAGCGCCCGGGGAGCAGCTGAGGGGTTAAGGGCCTTGCTCAAGGGTCCAAAGATGTCCGGGGAGTCGAACCGGCGACCTTCTGATCACAGACACGGCTTCTCTACTAATTGTAACTTACTTTTTCTCTTTCAGCTTTGTTCTGCTAAACTTTTCATGCTTCTTTCAGCTTTTTTGTTTTAAGCTACGTTATAAGCAAATTCAGTTTTTTAAGCTGAATTCCCGTTTTTGTGATAGCACATGCTCTTTGTTTTGTGTGTGTGTGTGTGTGTGCTAATTTAAGCTATTTCAGCTTCTTTTTAAAGCTATTTTTAGTTTTTTTTTCCAAAAGTGATTTAGCAAAAATCTTTCAGCATTAAGCATTCACAATACATTTTTGCAGGAAATACAAATTCTCTAGTTCATATGGCTGTTCATACTGAAAATATTTTCATACCAGTCTCTTTTAATATTACCAGATGTCACGCTCAGTATGTGCTGTAAATGACTCTACTACCATRTCATATCTGWRGCTCAGTATCTGTAGAAGTGATGTCAGTTAGCTGATTCCAAATGTTTATCAGTTTTATCTGTGTTCCATCTTCAGGCTGTGTAAGATGATGAACAAACCCATTAACTTACATTTGACTTAATATTTTTCAAGTGAAGCATCGTCTTTGAATATCTCTTCCCTCTCTGCCTCCTCCACAGTCACATCCTGCTGATCTTCATCTGTCTCCTCTTCTTCTGTTTTAACATGTTTCTCCTCTTCTGCTTCCTCGTCCTCATCTGCTGAGACCTGAACTTCCTCTTCGTTGAGTTTCTTGTTCTTTTCTTTAGTTGTATCCACTCCTTCCTCCTCTGACTCAGCAGAAACAAGTCCAGTTTTTTCAGAGTTTTCATCCTCAGCAGAAGCTGTGTTTTCTAAAACAGTGACTCTTTGATAGTTTTCTTTAGTGTCTTCTTCTTCTGCATCTGGATCTGGAGAGACATCCTGCTCTTCTTTAAATATTTCACTTGCATCTTCCTCCCCAGCTGTCTCAGCTGCTGCAGATTCCTTTTCCTTCTCTTCTTTATCAGTTGCTGGGTTTACCTCTTCCTCCTCAGCTGATGCCACAGAATCTTCCTCCTCAGTTGCAGATGCAGCATCTTCTTCCTCAGCTGCAGCATCTTCCTCCTCAATCGCAGCATCTTCCTCCTCAGCTGTAGTCTCTTCTTCCTCCTCAGCTGCAGCATCTTCCTCCTCAGCTGTAGTCTCTTCTTCCTCCTCAGCTGCAGCATCTTCCTCCCCAGTCGCAGCATCTTCTTCCTCAGCTGCAGCATCTTCTTCCTCCTTAGCTGCAGCATCTTCTTCCTCAGCTGTAGTCTCTTCTTCCTCCTCAGCTGCAGCACCGTCTGCCTCCTCTTCCTCAATTTCAGTGGCTTCTTGTTCAGTTCCATCAGCTTCTTCAGCTGTTGTTTCAGCAGCATCTCCCTCCTCACTTCTGTCAACAACCGTTTCTTCTTCAACCACTGCAGCTTCCTCTTCCTCCATCTGCTCACCTGACTCAGCAGCAGGTTGTGTTTCTTCCACCAGCTAAAATATAGAAAACAGCGGTAAATCACAATTTACTACTAAGGTAAACAAAAAAATTCATGTGTTCTTAACTGAATTTTGGATCCACTCTTGTATTTTACACTTTGTGATCAAATTGCRTACAGTTTAAACAGAGAAARAGAGACTAAGTCACTATCAATGTGTTCCACTCTGTAACATAAACAAAGTTCGTTTTGCATTCTGATGTAAAACACACCACCCCRGAGGTGTGAAAARGAAGTTAKGTTTATGTGCATGTGACTTTACGGGGGTGATYCATCACTATTCTTTCTAGGTCAGCCTAAACAGCTGAGCGGGTTGTTTTTGTTTTGCTTCTGATAAGACCCAAGGCCTCAAACTCACAGCTCYTGGCCCTGAGTTTRAAAGGCTGACTGGGCTACAGACTCTGACATACTGTGTATATCTTCTCCTCTTCATCAGCCTGCTGAAGCTGCTGGGACTGTTTATTCTCAAGCAGTTCTCTGAAAGACAGAAGATTATCACAGTAAGAGTTTTTGACATCTTTGYTTCACTAACGTTTTAAGTTCTGAGTAGACTAAAAAAACTGTCAAACAGATTATTGCTCTCTTACGTAGCTGTAGAGGACACAAACCTACCAAAACCAAAACATAAACAGGATACATAAATGTCAGACATTAGTGGCTCCTCATCATGAATATTAGTGAGGTGGACATTATTTTCCTGAATTGCTAACCACACTTTTTAAAATTTGTGTTACRTTTTCTGTTAAGTATTATATGTATTCTTATATTTATTTTACTGCTTTTAATTTTGCACAAAGGTGTAAAAATGTTTCWCTCTTTGTCTCATAAAAACAGCCCAATTTAAACTAGGGATGTCCCGATCCAGATTTGTTGGCTCCCGATACATTTTTTTTAATGATTAGTCTTTCCGATATCGATCTGATAGCTTTATTTCTTTATTTCTTTCCAAGTGACAAGGTTGGTAGTATTAAAGCGAGCCCTGCTGTTCCCACCACGAGAAACATCCAGGTTGCAGATTTTGCAAGGTGCAGTTTCAGCATCAGTTTTCCACTGAAAAGTGTTCCCACACTGTGGACATGGTTGCTTTGTGTGCATCTTGACTTCTTAACAGCAGTTGTAAAGCATGATGATGCTGAAAACTGTCGCAAAAACTGGATCGGCCCGATCACATGACTAAATCTGATTCTACTCGATATTCAAAAAATGTCCATATCTGCCACCGATACTGATACTGAGTATCTGATCGGGACATCCCTAATTTAAACCAGAGAAACGGACACCTTCTGCCCCCAAAACAGGTGTATTTTTTTTATTTTATGAAGTACATTTGTCTATTTATTTTGTCATACTTTCTGGATTATATTTTGAATTTAATTTGAAGTACTCTTTTTTCAGTAATGCTCCATTTTAACATAATTAAATGCAGGGGTTGGGGTGCACTTCCCTTGAGAAAATATGAAAATAAAGAAACAACGGTGGCATACATCTTTAGCCCTTTATTTTATATCTCCAAACATGGATCGAACACAAGAGTTTTGATCCCTGACCTGTCGCAGCCACACACTGGACATTTTGACAAAATGYATCCACTGTGGGACACAGCAGGTTTTGGCTCAGCTATTCCTGAATGTGTTAAAATCACGTGAGGTTAGTAATGGTCATATCAACTAACTAAAACCAGCAGAGCATGTCTGTAAGGTGCATTATTTTACTCTCCAATGAGACTACTGGAGATGCTGGCGACAGGAGGCCAAATGCACCATCCCTGAACTGTAAATAAGTGAAAAACTCAGAATGAATCAGTAAAAACCATTTTAAATTCCATTTGAGATAGTTAAATAGTTAAGAAATTTCACAGAAAAAAACATATAGTGAAGTAATTCAGTAATTCATAGAATTTATTAGGATCAACTACTTTGTGGTGTGAATTAATTTGTYMTTATGGACCAGCTGTGCCTGAATTTCAATGTAAGAAAACTAACTTTTTAATTTTAAAAATTATCAACAAGTGGAACATATTGACAGATCAGGGCACTCTGTAAGTAATTTTACCATCCAACAGACCAACAGATTAAGTCAACATAAAGTTATGAGTCAGTGGAGTTGAACTATTAYTTATTTACTTTCTAAAAGCTACCTGACAGCTGCCATCTCCAGGAAGTTGGCCTCCAGCTGAGTTTGGTAAACATCCAGCTGATGCTTGAGCCTGAGCACCTTGGTGGYCTGTTCATCCAGGGTGACGCTCAGCGTGTCGATCTCACCCCCTCTCTCCTCCAGCTTTGACTCCACCTCTGCCAAGTTCACTGYGATGTCCTCGACCCTCTGGGACAGTTCGCTGCTCAGAGTGGCCAAACCCTCCATCTGGATCCTGGCATCCCCAAACTCCTGGCTCTTCCCGTTCAGCGTGCTCTGCAGCTTGTTCAGCTGTTCCAGAGACACAGTGGCTTGCTGCATCTCTGCCAGGCGGGCTTTCATCTCTGTATGAAGGGACAAAACTTGGGCCGGGAGGTCGGAGGTCTTGAGCTGCTCGGCTGTGGACAGGGCCACGCCCGCCTGTTTCTTGGCCAGTGCAAAAGACTCTTCAAGGGAACTCAGACGGGTCTCCACACTCTCTGGCATGTGCTGCGRGACACAAGAGACATTAGGGGAGCTTTAGGTCAAGAAGGGTGCTCATTAAAGGGGAGCWTTCATGGAGTCAGCATGCAATGCAGTATATTGACAAGTGGAAATATCGCATAAGTTATAAGAACATCAATAAGTCAATTTGATTTTACAACCATTATTTTCATTTGATAGAATGCTTGTCAGTACATTTTATCATATCAGGTAAAAACATGTTGGTACACACATCAGAAATGAATGTTTCTAATAGGCAGAAACTAACCAATGAGAAACTAATATGTATATGCAGTTCTGCACAGAAATCTGGTCATGATAACTCTCATCCAATATCTCTCTGAGTATGTTGAGGTTGATTACAACACCTCATTTGAGCTCATTATTGGTAAAACTGACAGTTTAGGCCAGTTGTTTGCGAACATTGACCAGTTTGCTGGCCATTTTGATTYGGTTTGACTCAAATTATGAATCTTCCTGAAGGTTTTGCCATCCAGCTGTTCATGAGATGTTCAAACAGTCACACACACAATTAACTCACACACWCAGAAAAACGTTGACGCCTCTGCCCTCTATGGTGAACAATAAGCGGTACAGATTTATTTATTTTTGCTCACGAAGCAACACTAAAGAGATGTAGCTACTTTAAAAGGTAACACACTTCTTCTATGCTAATAAGTTCATTTAAAGATAAGTTCAACTGCATTATTTGGTTTCTGAACTTGTGAATGAGTTACAAACCATCTTTCTGTTGATACAGAAAACGTGCTCAYGCAGAGTTTTGCACAACCTTTTCACCAAAATGATTTTCTTGGAACATATTGAACTTCTTGTTAGGTGTAGCCTAAGGCAGTCATGTCGGGTTCAAACAAATGCACATAAATCACTCTAAAATAATCCTTAAGTTATTTTATGTAGAAATAAAATGAAGCCAGTAGGACCTCGTGCTTTACACTTCAGAATGGCCGGCAGTGGCACACACACTCCCTCCACACTGGTGGTGTTTGGTATCAAAATCAGACTAAATTTAGCCTGGGCACATTTCTGTAATGTTTGTGATTATTTTGGTTGAATCTTCTTCACAGCTCTGCGTGCTTGTCTCTGAATGTTAATACTTGTACTTCTGAAGAAAAGCATGACATTGTAAATATWACTATAAATAAGTTTTCAGTGTGTGTCCTGACCTGTTGGTGTGGAACAAACACCAGCAGCTGTGTGTGGATGTTAGAAATAGCAGCGTTTTGTGCTCACTGAGGCTCTTGGCATTTTGAAACCTAATCGAGGCCTGCACATCTGAGGTTTCAGCTGGTCGGCTTGCGTGTCTAGTGAGGACTGTTTCTGCAGAGTTCATCAGTTAAACAGATCATCAGAAAAGGCAGCAAAGAATCAGCTTTTTTTTCCCCTTTCTCCTTCTTACCTGAGTGTTTGACAGCCGCAGCTCTTCATGAGAAGACTGCAGCCTGGCTATTTTCATCTGAATGCCCATGAGGTTGTCTGTTAAGTAGGTTAAACTTTGGTGCTGCTGGAAACAGATCCACGCACCCGTGGCTCCGCCGATGACAACGACCAGAACCAGAACCAACAGAGGAGTGGAGTTGTTCCCTGCAGGGCGAACTTCTGTTTCCAGGAGCTCAGTTTTTAAAAAGTTCTCCTCCGGTTTGTTGTTGGCTTTTCCTTTCCGGTGTTTGGCTGTCATTTTTAGTTTTATTTATTTATTTATTGTTTCTGCAGAGGAGGACGCGATGTTCCAGAGAGGTGCAGACAGGGAGCCTGTGGCGGGTCAGGAGGCAGGTTTACTTCAGGAGTTGGAGAAACAATCCGGTTCATCAGAGAACAGCAGGACAGAGGCTGAGCTGAAGGCTGGAGGAGGCGTGAACAGGGGGCCCGGCTGGAACACCCCCTCACACCCCTCCCTCTGTCCCTGCCGTGTGCGCTGCTGGCACCGTGCTTCTGTGCGCAACAAGGGAGCTTCTCAGTTCCTCATGCTTAATTTAAACTGTTTAGAAAACCAAATCAGTGAGAAAAATACATCAATAAAATTAGGTACTTTTAATAAGAACTTGTTTTCTCACATCAGACCCTTTAAACTTAAACTTTAAGCTTGCTCTGGAAATGTTTTGATATCCAACAAATTCTGAGGATAAATTTATATCTTCATAGTACAGACCCCATTTATTAACTCTAAACTGGTTTGTGTCAAACTTGAGGTGAGATTTTTCATGTGCGTTTGTTTATATTGTGTAATCCCTGACCTTTACCCATAATGCTCTGTGTGCAAACAACTACAAAATAACTGTCATAGTCAGGGTGAAGTCATCTGTCACTTGATGTTAAACCACCATTTTTGGTTGGTTGGTGGTGGAGGTGGTGTGTGTGTGTGTGTGTGGGGGGGGGGGCCAGTTTTCATAGGCAGGTGCTTGGTTCTGTTGATCATAGGGGAAACGCTGCTTAAGCCCCACCCCTTTTTGTTTAAAAGATTTTATTTCTGAGCTGTATGTTTCTAAATGTGTTAAAAGGGAGGCATTATGTATTTTTCAGGCACATAGTTAAATTCTTGCAATCAAATAACTGCTACCTTCAGTCGTTGTGAAAATACTGTTTATATCAAAAATAAAATTGACCTTGCATTAAAGTCTATCTGGATGCCTTGAAATTGAGCTCTGTTTCTTTAAGAACCTCCTACCATTTCCAACACTTCCACTTCAGCACGTCTTCACAACAATGCTTTGAGGGAGGGGTGCTCTCTAGGGCGGGAGCTCAGCTGCAGATTGAACTCCAGGGAGGAGTTTTGTACAAGCAGGCGGAGCTTTGTACCAGCAAGTGTTTAGGCATCTCCACATGGCTATCACAGGAGATTCAAGGATTTCTCAAACATGCATGAATGAATCAATGTGTTTGATGAGGGAATGACATTGTGGTGGAACTAATACTTTTAGGTTTAAGTTAGTAATTTATGACATACTTTAATGACCTAGGTTTTCATGACGTGCTGTTTATCAACAGATAGAATGATTAAAGTCAGAACAAGATTTGCTAAAAACAATCAWTCTTACATATCCCTTGTGTTTATCTTTGTGTTTTCCCTTGACCTAGTAAGAAATCTTGCTAAGATGACATAACAATGTTTGTTAAACAATTCATATGAGGCCTCTCAACTGCATCAGGAGTGTGACACAGTGGCARAAGCACAGAGACAGAGAGCAGGGGGACAATTCAATGGCTGATGTTGTTCTCTGTGTTCCTGTTGTTGCAATACAACTCAGCTGATCATTTTCCATGGACGACCTTCATTCTTGGACCACGTATTTCTGTCTTTGATAAACAAATATTTCCAGAACAGTTGGTGTTGTCGCAGGCCCCACGAGGAGATCGACGGACCAAGGCCACATTGCAGGTGGACTGATCTGAGTGAGCAAGGACTGCTCAGGACCGTGACTCCAGCTGGATGAAAAGAACCTTTTTATGGTAAATTGTTTTTAACAACAGAAATATGCTGGTGATGATACTGTGATGGATGATCTWGAATAAGCAAAGAACATTGAATTTTTATTTTTGGCTGTTGAAGAACCTGAGAAGATTTTTGAAACATCATCTGCTGAGAGTAAGAGTGAGTACAGAGAAGCTACAAGATGCCTCCTTTCTTTTCCAAAGAGGATTTCTGCCAGCTTCTCCAAAAGGTGACGGTGTTGGAGCTCAAGATTCATTGTTTGGAAGAGATGAATGCTTTGGAGAACTCAAAATGTGTTTTAATGGGTGAGAAGGCTGAGATGAGAGATCAACTGGATGAGGAGATGGGAGCTGCGTCTGAGAGTAAAGCTGTATGGAACTCTCTTTGTGCCAGACCAAAAAATCTCTCAGGAAGGATTCAGCTCTTAGATGACAACAAATGGCCAGAGTTACAGAGAAATGTTTTCTCTCCACCTGCAAGGAGAAGAAAGCAGCGACAGGCTGTAATCAAAACACCTGATAACAGCCAGAGAAATGAAACAGTCTTTCTGATGGGTATTTTCCTAAATACATACAAATACAGGGGAGCAAATGAGACAATCAAACCATGGCTTGAGTCAAAGTGAGGAGAACGCTGGACAGGAAGYCTCTCGTACACCCAAATCCACCGTTCTGAGGGACTTCCTGTAGTTCA